TGGAATACTGCCAATTTTATTCTGACCCATAGGTTGTCGGATACACTTTCCGTTGCGATATTGTAGAAAAAATCGTTCAATTGGGGTGTTAGAAGGACGTAAAGCTTGATATTTCTGAACAATGTTTACATATTCCTTGCGAATAACGAAGTTGCGGTCTTTTTTTGTCTTGGTATTTAGTACATTAATTAATAGCAATTCATCAGAATTATGAGAATATTTTGATACGTTATTGACATTAAGTAGTGTAAGTTCATTTGTTCGACATGCTCCGGTTATACCAATAATAAGAACAACCTGTAACAAAAGAAGTATTTATAATCGTAAATAAATTAATCAAATTAAAAATATTGTAAGTACTATGTACAATTTTATCAACAACAAAAAATTACACGTATTGACTTACTTTTGCCGCTAAATATACGGAATCAGGTGCTTCATTAATAAACTTTGCAATTTCAGATGCTGTGAAAACCTTCGATTTTTTTGGTTTATAACCAGATGAGGCTCTTTTTAAAAATGCCACTAATTTATGATAGGTGTCGATATGAACGTCTTTCTTCATCTTAATTGTTAATTTTAGCATTGAATACGTACTCCATAGCGTGCTTGCTTTCTTGGTCTCAGATAATTCTATAAAATATGCCAGCAAAACGTTTTCGGAGAAAGTTTTTGCTCCTTTAGCTAGTCGCCACATGTTAAATATATCGTACTGTTTCAAATACTTCTCTCGTGATTGCTGAGGGAGAAGGCTCATTTGCGCATTATTAACTGTTTCAGTTAACTCAGTTGGCGTTAGATAAACTTCATCGTCGCTAATGTCACTCATTTTAGTTGATTTTTTTGTACAGTTTTTAGGTTATGTTAATTATATTAAGCAATAAAACGTGAAAAACTAGAATGGCGCGAAGCACGCAAATAAAACAAAGAAACCAAGAAGGTTCCAAATTTAAATTTTTTCACAATTTAAAAAGTTCTAATCATAAATTTGGCACCATAGAGGTTACATTAAATAGGTTTAATGACGTTTTGAATTTACAATTATATTGAGTACTCATTATATGTGATGTTCTAAATTCAAATCTACTTTGCCGCTCAAGCGAATAAAATAGAATTTTCCAGCCAGATTTCGAAGCGCAAAATTACACTTTCCGAGGTGGTGGGATGAAAATGCTCTTATTGCGTTTATACTGTGTAAAGCTCTGTAAAGCTGGTGCGTTCTTTTTTATTCAAATATATTTGTTAGCTAATTTGGCTTTTATGATTGTGCCGTGTCTTGTATTCTGTCGTTATGGTGTCCTTCCAATGAAATTATTGGTAACCAACTTGGCTTTTATGATTGTGCCGTGTCTTGTATTCTGTCGTTATGGTGTCCTTCCAATGAAATCATTGTTAACCAACTTGGCTTTTATGATTGTGCCGTGTCTTGTATTCTGTCGTTATGGTGTCCTTCCAATGAAATCATTGTTAACTAACTTGGCTTTTATGATTGTGCCGTGTCTTGTATTCTGTCGTTATGGTGTCCTTCCAATGAAATCATTGTTAACCAACTTGGCTTTTGTGATTGTGCCGTGTCTTGTATTCTGTCATTATGGTGTCCTTCCAATGAAATTATTAGTAGACGTCGTTTTTTTGTACGTTATATAGTATAGTATAATTACTTTTTTTATTTAACTTTACTTGAATTCTTGCTGGAGTCAAAACTCAGAACTATCGAGTGTATTAAGCAAAATATCTGACAGAGAAAGATACTTTAATTTATATTTTTCTTCGATTACATTCTACTTAAATAATACTAATACAACTTTTTGGCACCTTTTTTTATTACCAATTTACATTTGTTACGTGAACATATATAGACGCCACAAGAAGAAATTATTAAAAAGATTAGTATTACAAATACAATTTTTGAAAAAAGAAGTACCCCTATATTTATTTCAGCATTAGAGAAATATCTGAAAGTAAACTGATATGTTAGTACAGAACCGACAAAGTAAGTAATATAGATATTAATTTTGTACAGATTCAGTTCAAATAACACCAATGGTACGTAAAATGATTCCCTCAAGATTTTCAATAGGTTTTGAAATTTAAAAACAAATTGTGATATTTATACCTCCGCATTGAGTTCAAGTTGAGATAAGTACTGGAAAAACTTTGAAAAATCTACATTGCTTTTTGAACTTTTTTGAAACAGACAAATATTTAATAGATACGTTCCGAGTCAAGAATATTAACGTAGTGCATGTAAGCGAGGGTAAAATTTTGTGAGAAGTGCATGACAGTGCGAATGACTTGGTGATAAACGCGTTATTTAGTAATATAATAAGTAGGTATAACATAATAAAACGATACCACATTCCGATGAAGGATTAGACGAATCTCACATGGCGCAAGCTGAGTTAAAAATATCGAACAAATAGACGAGTGAAGTGATTTGACCATAACACAACACTTTTAGCTATTGGTGCGGTGTCCTGTCTAACTTGCCTTTTGTACTAAGGCGCATGTATGAAAGTTGACCTCTGGCAATATTCACAAATTTTGTCTCAGTTGTGCATTGCAACATGCGCTGTCACGTGAGATTCGCATATTATATAATATAATGTATGATAATTATTGCCACATGGGTACTCTTATCAAAAATATCACAGAATCGAATAACGATTACAAAGTACAGTTACGGCGACGGCGTTTTGTGACATTAGTGAAAAAATCAACAAATCATTCAGTGGTTTAAAACATTGGCCACTAGGTAAGTCGATAAATTAACGTGTAAGTATTGACAAAAAGTCAATTAGCATGCACTGCATTCTTTCTAATTTCAAAACACTTTAAATGCTTCCATATCCACGTTCATCATTTAAGTTTGCTCGGAATGTTATTATTTCTCAACGTTAGGCCGATGCGTAGGTGACTAAATACGATTGTTAATCTACGTTCGGTGCCGCTTTGATAGATCGTTTTAGAAGCTCATGGTTTTTGGTGTAAGGAGAGCGCGAGCGGCGGCGTCGAGCGAAGGACGAAGGACGGGTGACGCGGCGAGCGGCAAGGAGCAGCGCGGGCGGCGGGCGGCGCGGCGCTCTGCGCGTCGCTTGCGCCGGCTCGCACTCGGATTACGCTACACGCTCTAACGTTAATCAAATTCTCTTTATGTACGCCCGGAAAACAGCTGGTACTGCAAGCAACCATAAAAAGGTGATTAAAACAAAGCGCGTGCGAGGCTAAGCCCGCGGTCGCCGACGCCGCCGCCGCCGGCCGCGCGCCCTGCCCGCTCGCTCTACTACTCTACCAAGCTCTATGTACTGTGGCCCGGGCTAGCACGCCCATCTCGGGGTCAACTACAGGTTTACTATTTAACATCTCATTGATTGGGTAGACTATTACCGCTAAACAAGCGCGTGCAAAGCGACTAGGAAGCTATAAAACTGACTGAAACAACGCCAAATCTATAGGACTAAGGATAATGCAATGCCTACCAGCATTTAATCACAAATACTCAAAGTAAAGAGGTCATGTATAGTTTGTGGTCTATTTCCTTTAATCAGAGATCTTAGAAGCGATTTTTTATTACGAAATTATACAAGGATATGTAGCGCAAAAACGGAATTTGGTATTTACAGAGTTAGCGAAATGAAGTTAAAGAAATGGAAATCTTTATGAGCAGCAGGCTTATTCAACGGAAGACGGATCCGTATGTGGTCGAAGTTTTTACTTTAGGCAAAAAAGAAAGATTGTTTTTTGAGCTTTTGTGAATAAAACTGTTATCTTGTAAAAAATAATAGATTCCGCATAATGTTGAACTTTGTTTTGTTTACGCTATCCATATTGCAAGGTTAATGTAAGCTTTTTGAATATTATTATATTTTTACCAATTCAATTGAGCATGCCTTACATAATTTTGGGAACTTAAGGGATTTATTTAGTTAATGGTGTTTGATGAGTATGAAACGATGTTGAATACATACCTTGCGGGGCAAATCATCTAGGTTTTGTTTGTGACATAATCTTGAAGGAACCAGAGAACTAAATAACTACATTCATTTTTTAAAACTAAAATACAAGCTAAAGTGTAAAACTTATGAGTGTATACCAAAATAAAATTAATATTTCCGTACTTACTATGTTTGACAAACATAATTTGGTAAGTATATGTGAAAAGCCATTGTTTTTCCGCCATATATATATGTATAGTATAATGTATAATAAACACTAGTTATACACGACACGTATCAAACTCTCACTAAGTGAAGTGACTGAACTTTAAGTACTTTTTTTAAAACATTTTGTTTCGACATTTTCACCATTACGTCTCCCTAGAAACTATTTTTGAAATTTAATAGTTCAACAATTGTTACGTATTTGTTCAATTAATTTAGAGAATATCCTTTGGCATATTCATATTTATTTTTGCCAATGATACCTCAAAGGCTTTTAATTTACGTGTTAATAATATTTATTAATATATTTTAACTTTCAATATGATAACAGAAGAAATTAATGTCTATTAATTTTTATAGTAGTATCTAATAATTATAACAATACCATATCACAGCACCACTATACAACGTCTCGCTGTATATAATACTACCATTTGGTAACATTCTCTATTTTTACTTAAAACTTTCATTAAACGTTTTAATTTTTAGTACATTGGACATATTTTTTGGTTTGACGAAAGTATTTGATATGTCCACATTATACCGATTAAAGCTTTACAATATCCCTTTTTCATACTTCTCGTAGCAGTAATCGAATGGTCGTCGTCAACATAACAGAAGGTCTCCACAAACGGAGAGTGTCGATTCAACAGTACACTAAAGAAGTAGTCGCAAATAAATCTAATTTTACAACATCAATAGTAATAAAACTACTAAATATAGAGGAGACGGACGGGGATCACCATCGGCAGACTGAGTAGCGGAGGGCAGGCTGCGCCCGGCGAAGAGGCGCGAGGAGGGAACGTCAAGGGGCGTCTCTTCGGGGGTCGCTAGCGGCGGAGGTGGCGTGGGCGTTTAGCGCGTGAGGGTTATATTGAGCGAGGGGCATTTCCGGACGGCCATCGCGGTGTGCTGGAGCGCGCTGTATCCGGCGGCGGTGGCGCCCTGGAGGCCCTGGAGCGCGCTCCAATGCGGCACGTGGTGCGGCGCATTGCTATGAGAGTGGGAGCCCACAGGCAGGTGCCTTACCATGCCGCTGCTCAGCTGCTGCAGCAGCCCCGAGCCCTGCGAGTTGCTCAGGCAGGCGGACGGGCGCCGCGAGCGGATCGACTGCATCGATGACGTCAGCAGGAACGGCACGCTCGATGACGTGTTCGGCATAGATCCCCCCTACACGCATACATAAATGAAAAGTTATATACTTATTCTCATTGTACGAAGTGTCTTCGTCTAATTCTATTGAGATTCATATATAAAGCACGTTATCAATAAACAGCTGAGTTCGAGATTATCAACGATTTTTGTCACAATAATGTTGTTGACGATGTGCATTTTGTTGTGAAGGTATACTGTGAATTTTCGTATTTAATTTAATCTAGAACTAATTTCTTAAAATAAAATATTATAATGTACCATATCCATTGCCTTAAGGTAGGCTTTATCTACTTGCATGCCTTAAGATAGGTACATATTTTCAGCATTTGAAGCGTGTTGGGCTTATGAAATTTCATGTGATTCAGAAATAGGTACTCGCTACACTACAAATTGAGTCTTGTTGTACGGAGATGTTGCCGAGAATGGTATCAATTCAACAAAGTGATTTCTAGTGAGTCACAATGTTATAAGGCAACATCTTAGTGCAGCTATTCTAAATAATGACAGTTGTATGATAACAGCGAAACAGAAGTAAGTCTGCGTCCGCGCTGTCTGCAACGACAATACATGTAAGAGAGGAACCATACTCACGATCATGCTCCGTGCAAGCTGCGTAGAAGAACAAATAGCAACAGTAAATGAGATAGCGTTTAACGGACAGGCTTGCAGCCTTATATGATACGAAGAAGATGATATTCTTTGCGCTTATACCAATCATAATTATTATATAACATTGAACATTAAATTCCAAACTATCATAATGCTTTTTACTACATTATAGCGCATACATGTTTACTATTTAAGAAGGAACATCAGTGGTCTTTCTATTAATAATACAATGAATTTTGAAAAGCTTTACTTGTGTTTGTAAATGTTTCTTATATATAATTGATTTATACCAATTGGTAGATATCCAATGATGTCTTCCAAGAGGGTTTTGGAAGACAACACAGAATCGGAAGGGACCACCGCTGGTGCACATTCGCAGTCAACAATACGTTAGTTTTTAGCAGGAACAAGGGCGAGCTGGTTTCCAGGTCCCTTGCGCGACATATGGACACATTCGAGTCAGTAAGATGTACATGCAACGCAGTTTCTTACAATACAGTACGAACATGCACCACTTCATTGACCTTGAAATTTATGCCAGTATTAGCCGATTCGCAGGAATGGAAGTAATAGCGTTGATGTGATGCGATGGAAGGTCTAATGATGGGTCGTTGTAATATGACGTCAACCAGGTTCGTGCAGATGTACCTACGTGTGTGGTGATGGTGTAAACAAAGAAACATTATTTCCCCCAGTCGGTTTGGGAACAAGACGCGACCGTAGAAGAATAGACCACATCAATGTCAAGCCGTTCCAAGTCGACATTCACTAGAGGGTTCGGGAATTTGACTCAGCCAGGCTGTCGTACTCGTTGGACATAACTTACGACGCATTGCGATGCCGATGGCACGGATAAGCTCGAGCCTGACCCGCCTCGTCCCCTGAACTGGTAGCCCTGCCAAAATAACTGCCGTCACTACACTATATTATTACACTTCTTTGTCCTTTTCAACACTTCAGGTTCCACGAAAGCACAGTCACTCGCCACTTTTCTTTTTCTCCATCAGTCTTTCTTAAAAGCTGGAGTAATAAGTTTAATTAATTTCTTTAAAACCTGCTATTATGTCAGTGTGTGTGTAGGAGTTCAAATGACAGACAGACAAAAAATAACAAAATTATATCACTTACAGTCGGCGGCGATAGATTAACCGCTGATCCTCGGCGTTCTTGGGGACCAATACTGGAGTGGCGGCGCGTCGGTAATCCGGAGTTACCTCCCGGGGTCCCTCCTGGGGACGATGCGCAAGAAGGAGCGATGCGGATCTTGGGAGTCATCAAGGTGTTATCTGAGAGCCGACGGTTGGGGAAGGCGCTTGCAACACGCAAGAAGTTGTTGTCGTTGTTAGTAGAGTTGCTGGAACCGAAGAACCACTGGCCGATTCCTGTGCCTGGAATCATAATATTAATACACAAACACGAAGCATACCTATTACAGTAATCATTATCATGGAGAACGACCTCAGTATCTCATTTCCATTATTGAGTAATAGAAGACGATCTCTAGGTTTTCATCCTTTTATTATGATATATAATTTTCGAATCTTCTTAAATGTTTGCATATGGCTATCGTATGTGGTGTAATCAGTCATTCTCACGTTGTGAAACACATTGTGGCAAGGCATTTAAAAAGGAAGGAAATATAGAGTAAATTAATTAAAAATCAGAATTGACTTCTTCGTTTCTTACTCTTAAAGCCCCCTCCGACGCTTCCAGTTGGAGCGGTCGATGCAGTGACGGAGTTCTTGCGAGCCATGTCTTCGGCGCTCGACGTCTTGCGTTGCTCGACGCGAAGGTTGGGTATGTTGAATGGCGGGACGTTCATGTTATCCGTACTCATTTGGTGACGCAACGGCCGGTGACGATCCGGACTCGGCAGCGACAAACTATCTAGTTTCAACTTGTACCGCTGATTTTTGTCGATATTATCCAACATGTCGTAAAGAATCTGGGAATCCAATCCACGTGATATTGACTCTGTACTACACTAGCTCAGAACAGAATGGAGGTTGTTAATTGAGATATTTATGAAAAATAAGACGTCGATTCTAATTAATTTTATTGTGTAATTATTAGTTATAGGGGTAACGTGTATGTATGTAGTATATTTGTTGTCATTTTGTTTTGACGACCTCTGTGGTCTCATGCTGTGGTTTGTACGCCGGGTTTCAGGGTGTCACCGACTCGAGAGGTCCCGGGTTCGAATCCCGGTGGGGGAAGATGTTTGTGTGATGAATACAAGCATTTGTACTGCAGTCTTAGATGTTTAATATGTATTTCTATATAAATATACTTATATATGTACTGTATAGGTATTCTTTCCGTTACCCTAGTATCCCATAACACAAGCCTTACAGCCTTACTTTAGGGATAGGCTAATTGGTGTGAGTGTTGGAAATATTTATTTATTTACTTAATATCTATAAAATTTCATGTTATTCCTTCTTAATGCGGCGTTTCTAGTAATACTTTCATTCCTTCTTTCTAAGGTAACCACGGAAGACCAGCGTCGGACAGCCTACGACATACGACACATGCTGAGTGGGCTACCTTTTTAGAGACGCAAATATTTAGTCCTAAATTATTGTATTTATACGCTTCCATGTTCATGTAATATTTGCGTCACTGAATAAAATATTTTAATTCTTTATAGTCATCTATAGTGTTAGTTTGGTTACCTATGTATAGTTTATATTATTATATTTTTTTCTCGCAAATATTGGCTTATGTTGTATCCTACTAATTCTTACTAACATTATAAATGTAAAAGTTTGCATGTTTATTACCTAATCACACAAAAACTACTGACTAGATTTGGATGAAATTTGGTACGCATATAGAGTGGATTGAGACAGGATAATTTTTATCCCGAAAATGTGAGGTTCACATAAACCTACATTACTTAAAGGTATTACATGGAAATATCGAGATAAAAACAGAATAATATATTCTACCTCCATTAAGTTAGTGAACTGGTCAACATTTAATGCAGGGTTCACAGTTTGTGGAGCCAACGATGGTATCATCTTCGTAGCCATGACGTTAGTGGTCAAACCAAATTTCCTCTCCAGAAGCATCGATTTGTAAAGTTCTGTAATAAGCGGCACCTTTGATTGTTCAAGAAAAGCGAATCGAGTGTAATAATAATATTCGCCAGGCAGTAAAAACTCGCTTTGTTAACATTAACAAATAAAAAAAGACTGACAGACAATTAAAACAAATTTAGCACAGTCGCTTTCAAGTAAAGGTCACCTGATATCAAGAATTTCATACAATCGCTTTGAACTGCTAATTATGAGAAGCATCAAAAGTTATAAATACTCACTGACGACACGATTGATGATGTCTGGGTCACTGAGTCTCATGCTAAGGAGGGTTGGTATGACTTGCTCCAGTATGTGGTTTCTTTCGAGACGCAGTAAGATTTTCTCATAAAACCCCAGTATTAGACTGATAATTTTAACGTCACTTTGGTTTTTCTCGAGCAGAACTTTCACTTTGGCTAAAACAGTGGTATGTAGTGCCTTATCGTCAATATAATCTGATACATTTTGCATAGCTATCAGCGAAGCAGTCTGAAACCAGAGATTTAGGAATATGAAAGATTTTTCAGTGTTCTTTTCCTTACCAATAAAGAATAAAAGAAAGTCTGATTTAATGTAGGTACCACCTGTGGACCTAGAATTTCGTTAATGATTAAGATGATTTTATTGCTGTTTATAAAATTCATTTTTCTAATAAACTGAATACTGTCTTCAAAAAGTTTTATGATAGTTTAATTATTTATAGTATCTACTAAGATTATACACTACTAAGATTATTATATTTACTGTAAAATAATGGCGTAGCATTTAATATGTCCACACATAGTTTTTGTAATCAGCCAAAATATTGTTCATATATTGTACTGCATTTAATGCACAAAAATAGCTGTAAAACTTAGTTAAAACCAAATACTTAAATACCTATCTTGACGCCGTGTCCCGGGTGAGTAACGAGTAAGTGGTACGTATTATTAACAGTAGATATTTAAGATTGACGCACCTGTATTTGATTCGTATTATTATCCAAAGCGTTGTATAGCAGTGGCATGATTTCATTGTTTACATCTTCCTTGTGACACTTCCTCAATATTACATGAAGATTTTCTAGAATAGTTACTGAAGCTTGAACGCTTTTAGGCGAATTCATCAAATTCCTGAAAAATAGTCTTATTACAGGATTGTCATTCCGCTATAAGTATATTTAAACAAAATAATTCGCATAGCTTGTAAAAGTAATGAAAAATTATAACATTAAAATAAAGTAAAATCTATGACGGCATTAAGTCATTTTGTCCAATATATAGTCTTTAGTTCAAGGCTTTTAGTATTTTATTGGCAGGCTTCGGTTCACAGTACCTTTAAATAGTTTGTGAGCTTACTTCAAAGTGGGGAGAACGTAATGCGTGAATTCGTCCTGGGTAGCTTCGTTAGTTAGCCAAATGATGGGTTGTAGGACTGCTGCTAGGACTTCCGCTGTGCGCACTTCTAGCTGTAGGGCAGGCCACACGTGTTGCCAGCGAAGTTTCTGCAAGTAACCGATGGAATTCTAAGGTAAGCCCGTTACATACTGCTTGATTCGCTTTGCTTCATAACAGGTTCACGCTATAATAATAATGTTATATCAACAACTGTATGCTACCTGGCTTACAATCTTTACATACTTATATTAGTTTATAAAACAGAGACAATGAATTCTTCAACATTTTTGGGAGTTTAACTTTAAGAGGTAATTTAAAAAAAAATAATGAATTGAAAACTGTTTGATCCCAACCGCAGAGTTTCCAAAGATCAAATGATATCGTAATTAAAAAGTTAAATATTGACGACGTGGCTCCATGGCAAACATTGAAGGAGACGACCCACCCAAATTGGAGATTATACTTGTTAATTAGTTTGATTAGACCAACCATAACTCCAGAATTGACTATTCCAAATTTGCACTTAATTAAAATAGTGAAACTTGTACCTAAATACAGCACCATGCGAAGCAGTGTTTCGTTTTTTAAGGTTTCAGAATACTACTAATATTATAAAGTGAAACTATATATAACAAAAATATATAGTTCACTCAATCACGAAAAAAATACTACTGAACGGATTTTTATAAAATTCGGTACGCGTATAGTTTATATCCTGGATCGAGACAAAGGATTATCCCGGAATTCCTGTGGTATTCTCAAAAAACTAAATATAACGCGAGAAAGTCGTAGGCGGCCGTTAGTTCTTTATTAGTTAAAATAAACCAATTACAGTTATGATAACTTTTTTGACAGGATTAACAGTAAACTAAAATCCAGTCTACATTTATGTATATCATATACATAAATAAAAGCGACGTATGTTAACCTAGAGTAACCGTTTCAAAATTAACTATCCGAGATGGGCTTACTACTAATTAGTTCTTATGTAACATAATAGGTACTTATTTATTAAAAATATGCTACAGTAGCAAGTTGAGTAACGTTTAAGAGGAGAATTCTCGTATGTTGAGTTCTAACTGCGATTATTGAACTAAGATTGAAATAAAAAGTAATATCGCCAAGCAATTCACATTTATGCAGCAGATACAGGACACCTATAGACGCTCGATATAATATATTATGCATCGAAGTTCTTTCAGTAAATCTGCAATGCTTTTATTACAACAGACTTGTCTATTTGTATAAAAGTGATAATGAAAAAAGCTTGAATATATGACTGGCGTCTGTAAGCAGGATAATGGATTTAAATTTGATAATATTAAAAGCGTAGAATAAAAAAATGTTGTTTAATTTAGTAATCATCATCATTTAATTTGTCACCGGACTATTAATGCCATACTACTCGGGCGTAGACCATCCCTACTATAGACTATAGAATAGGGGGACGCAAGACCCACCTTGCAGGCTTTTTTTGTGGTTGAAATACCTACCCTGCGCACCTCATGATTCGCATCATCCTTTATCATGCGAACCCGTATGGTATGGAACTCCCTTCCTGCGTCTGTATTTCCTGATATATATAATACTAGCTGACCCAGCGAACTTCGTACCGCCCTTAAAAAAATAGGGGTTGTCCAGCGGACAAAATTGTGAATCTAAACCATTCTCAGATCCCCTTGAACACACACAAAAAATTTCATCAAAATCGGTCCAGTCGTTTCATTCAATCAGTCCAATCAAAGAGAAGTTCAGTGACATACACACTCACAGAAGAATTATATATATAAAGATAGGCACCTTCAAGGAAAGAGTAAATAGGCATTATTTGAGTTTGCGTGCTCCAGTTTAGATCACTTAGTTAGTAGTAGTTGCTTAACATCAGGTGCGGTTGATGTCAAACGCACCCAAATTAAAAAAAAAATGCGGGCACAGTAGGCATTATTGAACCATTGAGGCCATTGAACTCTTCCTCTTTATCTTATCAATTAATTTTACCAAAATTTTGAAGACACCACCATACTTTCTCTTTTCTTTTTCTTCCCGCTGGATGCGGAAAGTGCAGAACTATTGTGCATAGAAATCCCCTGAGGAGGTCTATTAGTCCAGTCAGTATTGTCGCGAAATCCGTTTTTCCTCAAACAGCTGGAACTATGCTAAAAAGTTTCTTAAGATAGTAAAGAACACTTTACATAGAGAAAAAAATGTTTCCAACCCCGGGCAAGGGTGAAAACCACCCTTAATAATCTATTTTTCCAATTATCTCAAAAAGTATACGAGATACGGAAAAAAACTTCAAATGAAAATTGTAGATCTTTTTGAAATCTACAAAACATTATTCCACCCTCTTGCCCCTATTTTCAATAGGGGAGCCAATAATCGAAGTCAAAGATAACTTGTTTAACCAACCTTTTACTTTTTAAGTATTGAATCTTTGACTTCGATTATTGGCTCCCCTATTGAAAATAGGGGCAAGAGGGTGGAATAATGTTTTGTAGATTTCAAAAAGATCTACAATTTTCATTTGAAGTTTTTTTCCGTATCTCGTATACTTTTTGAGATAATTGGAAAAATAGATTATTAAGGGTGGTTTTCACCCTTGCCCGGGGTTGGAAACATTTTTTTCTCTATGTAAAGTGTTCTTTACTATCTTAAGAAACTTTTTAGCATAGTTCCAGCTGTTTGAGGAAAAACGGATTTCGCGACAATACTGACTGGACTATATGTCCTGCAGTGGCCGTCAATTGGCTGATGATGATGATGATGAAATTTTGCAGTGTTTGTCATAGCCGTATGGAAATAACTCGCACATTTGCACAATTAATGACAGATAATAATTCGCTTATTAGCAAAAAATACAATGGACACATACCTTCGGAATATACGGCAAGGCGTCGATTAGAATGGTGCGGTAGAAGTTGCTCTTCTGGTTTGGATCTTTCATAGTGATGACATCAAGAAACTGCATGGCATGAATGGCTGGCTCACTCTGACATCTACATTATGAATCAAACCTTAATTTTATGCATTACTGGACGGCTATAATTACATTTTATACCTAATATTAAAGGAAACCGATGAAGTTACTTGTACCCACGATGGACCGGTTCCTACTTTTCAAAATTTCATACTTATATATTAGTTCAAAAATTTATATATTGCCCCTATTTTCGGAAAGTTTCATAGATAAAACTGCAAATTGATATCAAAGGAAGGGAGCCGCTTTTATTGCAGTGGTTGACACTTTGACAGCGAACAACGTTCTAAGTAGCTTACGATGTGTATCCTCATGTTGTGTATGTACAAGGTTACTTAGATTTCTGGGCTCTCCGGAGAAGCTAAGCTTTGTTTGTATTGTTTATTAATTTTCATTTAAAGAAGAAGTTCTTGTCAAAGGGTAAATCCCCTGTAAAGGCCCACCACAATGGTGCCCAAGATAGCCGGGGCCCTATATAGGTACCTATAGAATATCATTTTTTTATTATTATAGTAGAAACTAAAACTAATGTTTATGTTTATAAATATATCCGTATTATCACCTAATTAGGTACTTTATATCGACAGTGGAAAAGAAAAATCGCTTCATGACCACTTTAGTAGCTTTACAGAAAAAGGATCAGTTTTTTTCACAAAAAAAACATAACTCTTTGTAAATGAGAAGTAGCGCCATAAAAATAAAAACATATTCATAATATATTTTCTGTATATCCTCCTATAAATAAGTTATATAGCGACTTTACGAATCAGCTGTCCTTATGCGAAAATCACTCGGCCCACCACACATTTTTTGTCAAGCAAACATCAAATCATACGCCAAACAGTAAGGGCGTAAGCGCCGTTGGTTTAAAAAACACCAAAATTTATGTTGCTTCAGTGTTGTGAACAATAAAAATCTTCAAAAAATTCAGTTGTGTCAGCGCCAAAAAAGTACTCTTTTCACGAAACATAAACAGATCGACGCAGAAAAAAATCTGATTAGAATGATACGTGTTCGAGTCCCGTCTGCTGCCTGGTCCACGTGGATTTTTTTCTAGTTATATTTTCTTTAGATTTAAATATCAAGCAGTTACATGCTTAAAAAATAAAAATTATAACTATAATTGCTATTTCTTCTTTCAAATGTTTAATACTTGTAAAAGTATTCATTTGACATTGTGGGTTACCTACAATGCGAAGAGATGGCGCTGCCTTGTACCTTAAGAATGGCTAGAAGAATTTCGACGCGGCCATCAGGGCCGTGTTAGCATAATTGGTCAGTCCATTCGCCCGGATAGCGAAGGGTGCGGGTTCGAGTCCCGTCTGCTGCCTGGTCCGCGTGGATTTTTTTTTAGTTATATTTTCTTTAATTATCAAGCAGTTACATGCTTAAAAAATAAAAAATATAATGATATTTAACAAATTTTCGACCAAATTACGAATAAGTGATTTTGCTTTTCCACAGCCGATATGGTGATTTTATACATGAGTACAATAATGAATGCAGTCAAGATACTTTTATCCAATTTTAAAATTGGCTAACACATGAATGAGTGCTCAGGGAAATCATCATGTCAATTGGATAAATAACGGAACAAATAAGGATTCCCGACGTTTCGTGTTACCTATTTGTTTGGATCGATTTCAAGGGGGATAAAGGTTTTCTAAAAAGTGATATGTATTGTCAATAACTATTTAACTTATGTATAACAGAGACGAGACATCTAAACAAAGACGTATAGAGGAAATACTGACAAGAAGTTTACCCATTTGTCAGTATAGAATTGTACTCAAAATTACGCACGGTATTGATAATATGAAGTCATGCAAGCGTATACACTAATAACAAGCGTAGGAAATTAAATGACGACCAACACAGAATCCAACTCCCATACTACGAAATTCGCACTATTATACAAAAAGTTTCAACAAAAAATCGAAAGAAGACATTGAAATTTTATTCTACTTAAATTATTATTTTTAATTCATTTATAATGCAACTAGAAAAATACATTTTGTAAAAATGATTATTTTCTGCGTATTAGTAGGTATAGTTAGATAGTTTTTCTCGAAAGCTTTAAAATCAACACGTTGACCGAAAAACTCGCAAGCCGAAGGCTCGTACGTGGGACGTAACGTGGACGTGGATTTATGTGAGTACGGACTATTACAGTTTATGAATGAGATATTACCAGGAAGTAAATGGACGAACAGTGGAGGCTTTTCTTTTAATTGAGTTCCGTTTTCATACTTTTCGTACGGAGCCTTAAAAACTCTGGCATACTTTGACTTTAAGGTGAGGAACTGTATATACCTCAAAGCACCCATTCTTATTGGCGATGAAATGTCACACTTTATCAAATATTGTCATTTTGTAGAACACAGCAATATTAGATTCAGTCAAAGTTATCGCTAACTGCGAAATTGTTTATACCATAATTTTGGATTCGTAGATCATTAGAAATCTTTTTTGATTGATGCACATAAGAAAGGAAATGCTGCATATTTTATCCTTAATATCAACGAAACCGCACAGAACTTGGACCGGCGCTTGCAATAACTTTTGAAATTATTACTTACAGAACTTCACCTGATTTCTAGTTCCGTTAGATTGCTTTAGTTGCTTTAAACTTGTAGGGCTTAACGAAATTAAACAGCACTTTATGCAGAAAGCACTTAGATTAAAACAAAAAGGGTAGATACGGCACTAGCCTCACAAAAGTGATCCGCATCAATTGTGGCCCAAGGCCACAATCGCTTTAGTCACAACTTGACATGCAAATGACGTACATGTGAACGTCAAAAAGAAATATTGCTAAAATTTTGTGATTATAAGATAAAACAATGCCTAAGTGTTGTTTTAAAAAGTGCTCAAATTGCTCAAGTACTAAAAATAAAACCGACGGCATCACTTTTCATTCGTAAGTACTATAAAATATATTTTTTCATAAAAATGCTGTTTGTTTTGAATCTTATTCGGTATTTGTTATTAAGAAAAAGACAACAACACTTGTAAACGTTTGTATGAGGGAGAAAAAGCATAAGCGCGAATATTTGCCATTGTAATGTCAGTCGAGAGTAAAAATTGGGTAGAGTCAACAAAAAAAATATTTCGTAATTTTTATATATAATATAAAAATTACGAAATATTTTTTTTGAAATTTGGAATATTAATTTATGTAGGTAAAAAATATGCTGCATTTATTAAACTCATTACATTTTGGTTTCTTCGAAGAGGTTTATTTATTTATTTTTTTAGACATTTTAGCTTTAATATACTCTGTACTTACAGAAATGGCGTTTTCATTCTTTGTAGGGTTTAAAATTGTTTTTGTAATCTTCTTCTTCTTCCAGTGCCTCTTCAATCCTGAAGGTTGGCCGTTAGCTTCCTGTATGTAGTTCTATCAGCAGCTAGCCGGAACAACTGTTCGACGGAGGCAATACCGGTCCACTCCCGGATATTAGGGAGCCACGACTTTTTTCTTCGCCCAGCACGTCTCTTTCCGTCCACTTAGCCTATCATTATCAACTGCAGCAGCATGTATCTATCGTTCCTGAGCACGTGGCCAAGATATTCTATCTTGCGCTTTTTGATAGATGAATTTAATTAGATTGATTTTAAAAGAGAAACAAATTGTCTTTATTTGAAGGAAAATGATTTCAAATTTTATGTATAAGTGCTTTAAATTAAATAATTTGTTCCTTTTTTGGTGTGTAAATACTATTGTACCATGAGCATTGGCATAACTAATTAGCATAATCTTTTTTATAAGTATATTTGTAATGCATATATTTTTGTAAATATGCTGCTGAACCGACGAAATTCGTACCGCTAACAGTCCATGAATATATAAAATTATCTTCAAATTTTTAGCTTCATTGAATTAACGATTTTACTACCGAAATAAAACAAATACAAAAGAAAATCAATCAGTTTGGTATTTAATGTAATAGATGTAGAGAAAATTATTGAACAATGTGTACTTCAATGGTGTATTAAAATCGGGGTTAATTGATTGCCAGGTTTTTGGCACAATATTCTTTATACACAGTCATCCCTTAACCTGTCAGTACCTTAAGACTTCTTTCGATTTAGAATGGTTCTATGTTTTGGAAACTAATACCAAAAGGATAGAGCGCGTGAAAGTTTGGGAGAGAAGGCTTGTAAAGTCACTTCTAAGTAAAAATTGTACCAAGACGTGACGTCATGGGAAATTTCATATCAACATATCTCTGTAATGTTTTAATTATGTGAATAAGAAATAAATACTTGTCCAATACTTTTATTAATCTACCTGGCCGACGAAGAAAAAAAGGTTTTGTCATCAACCCTATTGCCACACAGTAGGTAGGTACCTAGTAAGATTCTTACTTCTGTTATAAAGCCCAAGGCATAACTTATATTTATTTTTATTTATCGATGATGATTATTGTTTTTGTTATTTAATTTTACCTTTATATTTTTTTATTATTTAAATGTATAATTTAAAGTATAGTTTAGATTAGATTTATAAAACAAGCAATTCATGCTTAGAAGAGAAATATAATAAGTGTTTCGGATTACATTCTTTTAAATACTGTAGACGATGAAAATTTCCAAATCCAGCAGTACAAGGTATGTTAAAAAATTGTTGACGGTATCGTATAAAAGACCTACTTTTAGTAGGTACGCTTGTTAACTGATTTTTTATCAGGTGATATAATAATGTGTGTCAAATCAAATCAGTTTATGATTGGTATTGAAATATAATAAGTGTAAAGTTTCTAGTAAAAATTGTATCTCGATTAGATTCTTTTAAACACTGAATACAATAAAAATGACCACATCCAGCAGTATAAGATACCTTAAAAAAATGTTGACGTTATCATGTAAAAAATCTACTTTTAGTAGGTATACTTGTAAACAGTTTCATTCCCTCAGCTTTTCAAAGTAGATTGAAAATTGCTCAATGTGGATTTTTTTTATTGAATTTTAATAATAAAACTTATATTTAATAAAAAATACTTTTATTTTTTTCTCTGACGCTACTCTGTAGTGACTTCGAGTACTGGTCGCGTGATTGGTCGGTAGCGCAGTGACGCGGATCTCGCCGTCCCGTTCGCGCTGCCGTTGAAACTTATATTGCTGTTTCGTTCGTTCGATTGTATCTTTACAAACAGGTGGATGTGTGAGTGTTGCATATGTAGTAAAGTGGGATCAGTTTTTGTTTGATGCAAGTAAGAGCGTACCGTATCTACCCTTTTTGTTTTAATCTAAGAGAAAGCACGCTGCTTTGCCCAGTGATACTAGGGACCAATATAAATGATTATATCAGAGGAAACGCAAATTTCATCAACTGGAATTCAAGATACGGACATTATCCAAAATGACGACTGCATAAATAAAAAAAAATATTGACTAATGTCAATCAATTTGTAATTAAAAATTCTAATCAAAAGAAAAGTAAATATAATATGTCAAATAATCTAATTAATGAAATCGTAAGTTAGAGTGCATGATATATAATTAAATTAAATAAACAAATACTGTTTACGTATAAATGATGGTAAGACTCAGAACACTTAATTTTTCACGTTTCTCAGAACAGCTCCAAAGTATGCCTGACAGGGAAACATCATAAGCTAGACGTAGGAATTTATCCTCCTCTTTTTGATGGCTTCTTGGAACAAATTATTTATCTTGAAACAGTAGTCTCAAATTTAAAGGTAGAGAAGTGGCAGGAAAGATTTCCTTATTTTTATAAAGTAACTTCCCTATAATTATTTTATAAACATTCTTTGATGGTTGTTATTATACTTCGATGTCGATAATAACGGTCTCGTTTTTATTAGGAATGGTTTTATTATTTACCTGTTAAAAATTAGCACGATTCGTCGAAAAGCTATTGAGTAAGTTAAAGTAACTTTTAATTAGGTGACAATATGGAAGGCGATAATAAGTAATTAATTTGGACGGTTATTTAAAGAAATACCCGCAATACGTATATATTACATAAATAAGTATATTTTGTCTACGAAATATGTACGAACATGACGATTTATATCAAACGTAAATAGGTATTCGGTATTAAGGAATAGTACTTATGTTCTTGGGAAAGTAATTCTTAGATTCAGAATAATACAAAAATGTTTGAATGTTATTCTAAAATAAAAGAAAAAGTAATATTGTTTGTTTATCCATGTGGCGTATAAAATTAATTTTGAATAATTGTTCAAAGCGCGTTACGCGGACGACCATCACTATATATATCACGGAGATTGACAGAATTCGTTTAAAATCTGAAAACTGCCTATAAACTGTTAAATTGTACGGTGTTTCATAGAGAAAATTAGTTGAAAAAGCGAACGAGACGTTGACGATAAAAAATAAAGTTCAGATAAATGCATGGTAACAATTTCACGCAATATTTAGTATGACACCAAACTTTATAAAAACACTTGTAAACACAAATACATAGAACAGTAGTATCAAATATCAATTATCAAATTTTGCAATTAGTTTAAGGATATTATTAATATTAGCGGCCAGTTCCAGAAAACTATGTTTAATGGGCCGACTATAGTATTTGTCGACTAACCGACTAATCGGTTTTCCTATTGCCGACTATTGGTCTAGTACCCACTGGACATTCATAATTAGACCTTATCAACATGACAGGACCTATTTGACCTCCTATCAAGAACATGGTGCCCACTGGACCTATACAATAGGACTTATTGGAACTCTCATCTCATTTCAAATTTTTGCATGTGTTTTTAAAATGAATATTGAGAGCTGTTATCTATATTTCACTATTCTGTCAAAAAAAGTAGTTGATAATATTGCTAAAAATCATGAAATAGAAAAGTAATTTTTGGCCTATTATCACGTGACCAAAAAAGGCCTAGGATTGGCGGTGCCTAAAATGATGTTACCTGCATGTAAACATCCTGACGAAGTGACATTACTTTGTACTGTATGAGGTTTAATAAGAGCTGTTTCATTCATCTGACTGTAAACACGCATATTTGCTAGAGAAACGTTTTCGCGGCATATTTGAAAAAAAAAATGTTCTTGTTTTTACTAATACGCAATAGATTTTTTTATACACTAATAAATAAGGTTTTCAAAAACTTGCCCATAGCATTTTGTCAAAGATGAAATGATGTGCTAAACAGAAACCTCAATTAGGGGTCATCCATAAATTACGTCACACTTTAAGGGGTAGGGAGGGGGTCGACGAAATGTAACATCGTGTGACAAGGGGTGGGAGGGGTCCTAAATTTCGTGACGTCACATTTCAAAATATATTAAAATCTAAGTGTTGAAACTATTACTTTACGAAAGCATTAACAACCCAAACGAGAACAAAGTGGTGCTATGCCAGTTATAAATAATTTAAAGGAGTGGGATCAATGTCCATGGACTCAAGATTATTAAGTTTGTATCTTTAATTTAATTATAATGCTATTAATATTTTATGTTTTGTTAATTTCTTTAATTAACATAGTCAATCACTTTTTGTTCGGTAATTTCTTTAATAAATATAATTAATCGTTTTTTTTTGTTTTGTTAATTGTTTGATTTGATAATAATAATAATGAAAAAACAATTTAAATGGAAATAAAACTGATTACAGAACCGCTGTTTTCATTCAATGATTTCTAAATGTAAATTTGCAAAATATGTGACGTCACACTAGGGAGGGGGGGGAGTCTTACAAATGTGACCAGCTGTAACAAGGACGGGGGGAGGGGCAAAAAAGACATGAAATTCGTGTGACGTAATTTATGGATGACCCCATAGTTGGTGTAATTGGCTAAAATTCTTCTATAAAAAGAGGAAGTTATTGAATATGAATGAACCAGTACTTACTTGAAATACTTGATAAGCGGAAGTAGCTGCGTTGTGGGGCGAGGATGAGGGTCTCGAGAGAGAAGTCTTTGAACAGCCTCTTGTAGGGCGGCAGGCACCCGAGGCAGCATGGCGTTGACTTGCTGGTCCAACTAGCAAAAATTATCAAATAATATCATTATATCAGGTTCAACTTAAAACTGTTTTAAAACATTTGTCTTTGTTCATTAGGAATCGAATGTGGCCCGGACAGTTTCAGGCTTTGATATTGTATGCAACACGATATCAATAGTATTGTTAATCGAAGGTCTCAGGGTATTGTTTAGTCTTTATTTCATTAAAATTGGTGTACTCTATCAAAAGTTATTACAATTTAAAGACACGCAGAAGAACGTTAATGTGATTTCATATAAAATGTAAGCATTAATACAAAGAAGAGATGGCGCTGATAGATTGCAACTTCATCATCGTACGTGTTTAGGTTTGGGTTTGTATAAGCTTTAAGATATATAATTTGCCGAGTTTGAATTCAATCAAGAAAGTTGTAATTTTTTATTATAAGTTTTAGACAATACCTTCGTGGATAAGTGTTGTCTGTGTAGTGTCTGTGCACCTAAATCATTCAGACTATATATACTTTCTTTTTAAAGTGCAATATCATATTTATTGTATCCCTCTGCAGTTACTCCCGGTAATACTAAGACAACACAAGCAAAATAATAAAATTCGTGCCTGTCTGGAGAGCTAAATTTTATGGCGCAATATTACATATATTTATTTGTGTAAATATACATATAATATAGTTGTAACTGCCAAAATGCGTATAGGTGATTTTAAATTTACTAGGTATTGAAAATTGTCGACAATCATTATTGTTTTCTTCTGAGTACGGAATTCCCACAGGCATTAGTAACACAGCACTGCAGGTCAAGCTTAACGAGCTATTTTGGATTATAATGCACAGAATCAGCGTTTATTCATGTATGTCTTTAGAGAATAAAGACGGTTACGGTGTAATCTATACGAGGCGTATAGTTTGTAGGGACGAGTAAACAAATACGTAATTAACAGAAATGTGCTAAATTGAATAAATCAGTCCAACTCCATTAATTGTTTTTTGCGTAGTATCCTAGGATGAGGCGCAAGTAGTGCGGGCGTAGTGGTCAGCGATCAAGGAAGTTAAGAAATTTTCGTAATGGCCAGTTATCGGATGGGTGACGAAAATTGTATTATATTTCGAGCTCCTCTTGGTTATTAAGGCACGTTGTGCTGTTGGTCCTGACTGCATTTGTAGTCATTTACAATCAGAAATACGCACTGGGACTGCGTCGTGGGTCACGTCCCAATCTCCCTATCTCATCTAGGTATAGAGAAGACCTGTGCCTGTGTAGGTTGATAATGACGAAAAATTTAATTATTACTCACATTTGAAATCAACACATATTGGTCATTTATATAGTAAGCAAATGGATGAAAAGCAGATTGCGTTGAAATAATCACTTAATCACACGCGGACGAAGTCGCGGGCGACTGCTAGTTAATAATATATAGATAAATTCACGCGCTTTTCACCACCACAACGCCGAAACTTTTCATGATTTGTAAGTTTTCAGAACGGCACATGGTTTCATAATCTATTAAAGAAGAATCATATCATGGGTGTGGATAAGTCTTGTATGTCACTGTTTATAATTAGGTATATAGGTATTAAAACACTCATGTGATACTATAATTTCTCCCCCCTCATTATAGGAGGGGACGAGCGCCCATGTTCTGCTGGAGTGCAGAGGCGTCGCAAGACAAAGGACTTCTCTAATGGGAAGCCCGCGGACACTAGTAGAAGCCTGCTGCAACATCCGGGGACTGCTGAGCTTTTTGGAGGAGCTGGGATGGCAGGACTGATGCTAATCCCCACGCAAAATAGGCACTGGGTTAGGCACTGTCGAGTTGCGGAAACAGCCCGCCGTACTACTAAAACTAAGACCCCTCATTATACAACAGTTGCATAAACAACTGTTATAAAACGGTAATAATGACGTAAACAAACACGAAAGTTCATGCCAATGGCTATCTTGACACAAACGCCTAGGGAGCCAACCTACCAATAGAATCACCATTCAGCAATCCTTATTTGAAACGCTTTTCTCTTTATCCCGAATACGTGAAAACTAAACTATATTACACACATAGGTACTTTGATCATTTCAAAACTGGAAGCAGAGAGAAAGCATTGAAATTGAATTCGGATCCATTCTCTATTGTTTCTAAATAATGCGCAGAGCTGCACGAGGAATGCGAATAAGATAAAATATAAGTGACTTTACTATTCATATTTTTGTATTTGCCTCAATCCAATCAGCTTTTTGTTTTAGTTTAATAGAATTTCGTTGACTCCGTCAACATCCTATAATTGTGACACTACTTCAACTTCCACTTTCTAGTCACTTTATTATGGTGACAAATCCTATGAATGATACCGCTATTTGGAAAAGCCCCAATTACACTTGAATGTTAGCCCGTCTTTGGGTGCTCGAAAGACAATACCTACTCAATTTCGGACACCCGAAGCAATATTTACATTGTTTTACTTACGTTCGGGTACTGGAACACGGGCAAACGACCCTGCATCCGCGTTCGAGCTGGAACGTACCTCAGTGATACCAGATTGGGGGGACGCAAAACGCATATGGGCGTAATCGACGCAGTTCATTTACGAAGTAGTCATTTGTCCGAATTCCATAGGCAATCGTATACAGGCTAACGACCAAGAGTAATGATATGATGGCACAGCCCACACTCTGTCGTACCTGCTCGACATTTGCGCTTCTATAAGAACACGCCGCCATTAAGAGCTTTTATCTATTATAAGCTATTCTCGTTCAAGGAGAGCTAAACTTCAATTACCTGTACACGGTTAGACACAAATAGCATTATTTAGATATGTACGCTCTTATACATATTAATGGCCCCTTTGTTACTGTATTTATCTTTAATGGACGAATAGTCACATTGAATCAATATCATTGTCAATAAATCGCGAACATACCTGTATAAAAAGTGTTTTATTAAATAATTGGTGGGTGTGAAAACGTAGGAAATAAGTACCTACCTAATTTTGTACCTACAAGCTACAAGGAAACATGGTATCTTTATAACCTAAAAGCGGCCACCTGCGGCTACGTCCGCGTTAACTATAGTTTTTCGATAATCCCACAGATTATTTTCCGCGATAAAAAGTATCCTATGTCTCAATTCAACTCGTCAACTATATGCGTACTAAACATCCAAATTCGTTGAGTATGTTGTCAAAGTTCCTCCCATTCGCACGAAGCGATTTGCTTCCGCTTTCATTATGCGAACGGTTAGGGAGTGGAACTCCTTGCCGAGGTCTGTTTTCCTGAACCAATATAATCTGGACGTCTTCTAGGCCAGAGTGAACAGGCATCTTCTAGGCAGGCGTGTACCATCCTAGGCCTCATCATCGCTTTCCATCAGGCTAGAATGTGGTCAAACGCCTTGCCTATCAAGCATAAAAAAAGTAGTTTTTACGCGATTGAGTAACAAACATACAACCTTTCCCATTTATGATATTAGTAGGATTAAAAATCGGTGAAGTGCGAGTCGGACTTGCAAACACACAAAGCTTTTGTAGTGTGAAGGGATAGCGGTGAGAGCTGTGGTTCATTTCCAGTCTAGAACTTGGACAAGTTGACATTTTTCTACTAAAAAAATTCATGAAGGTACTGTAAAATGTTCCTACTTTGCTCCTATAGGCGTAATAATGCACCAATTGTCTAAAATGTTTTATTGCTTAATATTTCCAAATCGGTGCAACATTTCATTTAACTGTGAATGCACCGGAAACATCTTACTTATAAGTGGCAACACTGAACTGTAAAATTTTTCATCCGCAATTTTTTCATAACTCAGGTGCAGCTGTAGTGCAAGACCTTAAAAGTATTGTTTTGTATCCGAAAAAGCCACTTCTATCTTGAAATCTGCATAATGCATTAGGGTAATTATGTTTTAATGTTATTAATTATATAATCAGGTAAACGAGTACGTAAATATTTCATTGGATTGCTGAGTTGTTCATAAACTAACCTCACATTTTTGGCGTGCTCATATTTTCTTTGGTAAGATGGGGTAACGCAATAACTTTGCGCCTGGAGCAAACTAAACCCAAACATAAGCCGTTCAAAAGTAAACATTTTTTATTAATTGTAAGTGGTTATTAATACACTTTTTATCAAGGAAATTACAAATATAACTAAAGAAGGGGCGGATATGTCTCTTTAATGAAGAAGTCGCTAAAATCCTGGACGTGGCCAAAACCCGTCGATGAAATTCAATTCGATTGGCAGGATATATTGGGATGTATTGATGTCCCTTAAAAAATTAGTACCCGCTGTGAAATATATTCCGTTCCTGAACTGACCGCTTGGGGGGTCATTTTTAAATTATAATTTTTAAAGTTTTGATTTTTGAGAAGTTTATCTCGTTAGTTTAATTTCGACTGAATTTTGTCCAGTATTTGTTACTTTTCTTGTTAAGATAGCAGTGCCTATTATAATTTAAGAATATAAAAAAACCAATGAAACAAAGTGATTTTGTAACTAAATTTAATAATATAACATTAATTCTTTCAAAAAGCACGGTTTATTTTAATTTTTACCCATCTTTCGACCATTGATACTATCAAAAAAGGTAAAGCGTAATATAACTGGAGCAGCAATAGCAAAAATAATAACGTTGCGCTAAGATATTGCAATAGGTCTAATGTGTCGCTTGTAATAGTTTCCAAAGCTGCCCAGTACGTCGACAAGCTTATTCTGCGCTAGAATATCTGCACCATGCATTTCAATTACTTCACTGTACCCTTTAACTAAATATTCTGTTTTATTAGTTAATGAAAAACAAAACAGAATCAGACAATTTGCAGTAGGTAACGTTTACAAAGTTCGTATTCAAACAATGTCAATGTAACGTTACCTCATCTGAGCTTTTATAGAACAAAACATACTGTATGCACAGCACAAGGGCGCCGTCGAGATATGTAGCAACGTACTTTATGATACACGTTTACATCTATTGCTATTTATACAAACATTTTGTATCTAACACGGGGAGGTACAGAATTTCATTATTTGCT